ACCTTATTGACTTGTCCTGGGAAGACACCCAGCTGGCAGGTGGGGATGGGACCGAGGTCTCTCTACAGGCCCTACAGGGATGCTGGGCAGTCAGCCCAGATCCCCAGCGGCAGTATGTATCCCAGGGAGCTGAAGGTGCTGTACTTCCTCCCCAGCGGCAGTGTGTCCTGCAGGAAGCGGAGACAGTCGGTCTCGCTCCCCAGCAGCAGGGCAATATATTAAAAGGGGAGACAGTTGGTCCCCCTCTCCAACAGCAGAGAGTGTTCCAGGGAGAGGAACCGGTTATCACCTCTCCCCAGCAACAGGACAAATTATTGAAAGGGGAGACAGTCGGTCTCCCCCTCCAACAGCAGAGAGAGTGTCAGGGAGAGGAGCTTGTTATCCCCTCTCCCCAGCGGCAGTGTGTACCCCAGGGAGCAGAAGGTGCCATCCTTCCTCCCCAGCGGCAGTGTGTATCCCAGGAAGCCAAAGGTGTCGTCCTTCCTCCCCAGCGGCAGTGTGTACCCCAGGGAGCTGAAGGTGCCGTCCTTCCTCCCCAGCGGCAGAGTGTCCTGCAGGGAGCAGAGACCGTCAGTCTCGCACCCCAACCACAGGACAAAATAATGAAAGGGGAGACAGCTGGTCCCCCTCTCCACCAGCAGAGAGAGTGTCAGGGAGAGGAGCTTGATACCCCCTCTCCCCAGCAGCAGTTTACAGTTCAGAGAGAGGAGCTTGTTACACCCTCTCTCCAGCGGCAGCCTAACCCACCAAGGGGAGATGTTAAGCCCCACAACTATGCAGATGGGACCGTAGTCTCTGCACTTGCAGCACCAGGGGTAGGGACAGTCGGTCCTGTCCCCCAGCCACAGAGCAGTGTATCCAGAGGGGAGACAGTCGGTCTCCCCCTCCCACAACCAGGCTCCAACCAGGCTACTTCAGTGGTAGCGCTGGCACCCGGGCAGAGTACCGCTGGTCTCTGCCCACTCAGCAACCCACCAAGGCAGTCTACCAGCCCCCCACACAGCCGTGGTGAGGCATCTGGACATGGACAAGTTGCTATTTTATCCAGGTGTAGTAACCAGTTATTGTGGGTGGGCTGTATTGCTGTTTGTGCTTCGTGGGTGGGTTGCTGGACTAACCAGGGCACTGACCGGCAGGAGGTCAGATACCCTGTTAGTCTGGATGGTAAAGGGGAGAAATGTGGCGAAACCGGCCTCGCCACGTGTCCTTGGAGGGGGCTGCTTGCCCACCTCTTGCCTATGGACCAGACTTTATGTGAATGTGTTAACCCAGATAGCTATGCCATGGAGCCCATTCGTGTAGTTAAAGACTTCGGCTCCATGGCAATTGAACTGTGTGAATAGGATCTGAGCGCTATTTGGTAGTTTTGTGCGCTCAGATCCCAGCTATCTGGGGATATGTGAAATGTCTGTGTTTTATGTATAAAAGGTGACTTTATGTATTTTAAAGTGTTTTGTGTCTTTTTGCAACCATGTGCTTAATGGAGTCTTGTGTCTGTCCTGGGAGATAATTGAATTACTTATCTCAGGATAGAAGACTCTGAAACTGGTTTGGGCCAGAAAGCCATGCTTCATTTAGTCACAAAGGACTTTTTACCTTAACTTTTGAACCCCTGGTCTGATTCGTGCCATTTTTTAATATGTTGTTCCCCTGAATGGATTGATTATGAAAATGTATGTTTTATGTTTGTGACATGTATATTTTAGAAGTTAGAAATATTGTGTAAAAACTGTATTCCTCTGCCGGTGATAATGAGATTACCCATTGTGTTCAGTAATCATATCACCTGCAGAGGGGAGGATTTTGTGTGGGAGTGTCTGGGTGTATTGTACGGATTGATTGGTTGTTTTGTAACGCCCTGTGGGCTGTACTATGTTTGTGGATTGGGAATAAAAGAGACTGTATGTGACAGTACAGGAGTTCCTGTTTTAACCCTCAAAGTGAAGTGTCGTCTCATTATTGGGGGAAGGATTTATTGTATGCTGTTCCAGTTTGACTGCTAGGAGAGTAAACCTATTCGTATGGTTCCTATTCAACTGTCTACAGCATTCATTTGCTTGAGAGGATTCATATGCTTCTCCGGTACGGTGGTTGTGGTGTCTGCTGCAGTGCTTGGAGTCCTCAGGAAGCGCTAGGAGCATCCTTTAATGGAGGTACCCAGTCGGGGTGCCAGGCGATCCGTTACATTCCCAAAGTGGGCGCAGACACTGAGCCCCATATCTTTATTTAATTGTGACTTGAAATTGTTTATATACTTTCATGCTGACTTCAGCCTCATCTTAATGATCTGGTGCAAGGTGATAGAGTAGATTTTATCCTGGCTCTACTGTCATGGTAAAGGTCTTTGATAGAGTAAGCTGGGAATTTATCTTTGCAACCATGGAGCATATGGACTTTTTGTCCCGCACCTCATGAACTGAATTCACTCAATTTATACTGTGCCTTCTGCTAGTATCTGAGAAAATAAAGTGTTTACTGACTCCTTCCAAGTGATACTAGACAGGAATGCCCATTTTAACCATTGCTGTTTCTCCTTGCCCTCAAACCCTTACTCATTGCGTTTCACTGTATCCCTATATCACAGGTCTTTCAGTTGGCCACACAAAACATAAACTGGCCGCATATGCAGACAACCTTTTATTTTATGTTACAAACCCAGTGGTTGCACTGCCTAGCATCTTTAAAGAATTTGAGACCTATGGCTCCCTAACCAATTTAAGTATGAATTACTTAAAATCTACAATCCTCAATATTTCAATACGTCCTCATGTCAGGACCAACCCTATCTGTCAGATGATTTTCCCTTCAGTGGTCCAATACCTCATTTAAGTATTTGGGTGTATAGCTGGCAGAAGATTTTGGCCAACTATATCCAACCCATAATTCCTCTCTGTCATGCTCAATGAGTGGCATACCATTGCAGAAATATTGGAATTGTCCTTGATTCACTCTTTGTTCTCCCACTGGTCTATAGCTTAGGTTCCAAATAAACATTGTACTTGGCAGTGAAGGAGTTAAAGAAAGAATATATATGGTTAAGATGGAAGACGATATTACATAGTTTCTGGCTAAAGAATAAATATGGATTGTTGGATTAAAGTTTACATTGTTCTAATTTTTTAATGAGTCAGAGGATGTATATGGTAAGAAGACAAAAGAGAGATCTAGTTCAGGAAAACAAAGGGGTAAGTCTATACTGTATCAAATACTAGTATAGACTAAAGGGGTGGCACAACAAACATGAACCATACAACCTGTATACACTATAACACAGTTCTTCAAAGAATCTAAAACATGAAAAAAATCACATAATAGTGAAGTATGTACAGGAATATATGATTCAGTCCCGTAGATAGAGAACTTACAAGACCGTGCTGTAGATCCCTGAAGAAGTCTACATAGACGAAACGCGTTGGATATTGATCAGGAATACCTTTTTTCTTCTTTTTTGTTATTTTATTGTTTTTAGTATAACTTTTTATATTTTTATACTATCACAGAGGGACTTCTTTTCCTCGGTACCACTTGTGAGTGGTGATATGCTGCTATAATCTTCACTTGATGTAAGTGCAATTTGTATTAATAAATCTATCTTTGTTTGCAATACTGCTCTATATACCTCTTTTTATTTGAGGATTGGGTGTTCTGAATCTACGCCTTTTTGGTCCATACACACAAGCCCACTGAGAAAGAATACGCTACTTTAATACCCTATGGAAGGGAGACAAGCGCAGATCTACAGCACGGTCTTGTAAGTTCTCTATCTACGGGACTGAATCATATATTCCTGTACATACTTCACTATTATGTGATTTTTTTCATGTTTTAGATTCTTTGAAGAACTGTGTTATAGTGTATACAGGTTGTATGGTTCATGTTTGTTGTGCAACCCCTTTAGTCTATACTAGTATTTGATACAGTATAGACTTACCCCTTTGTTTATATTGTATTGGTGTATGTGAGGTACACTTCTGGGTGTTTTGGCACTGTTTTGTGGTTTTTGCTTGGGATATTATATAGTGCCTCTTTCTTTTTTCTAGTTCAGGAAAGGTGAGTTTTATTTACAGATTGGGGTTTACATAGTTTCCAGAATAATGCAATTCTATTTCTTATCAAGTTTATAAAGGAAATGGTCAACAACAAAATTCTGTTAATTTACCATTTGTAATTTCATATTTAAAAAAATGGCTGAACAGCTAAATAATCTTGTCTCAACCAATTATTCACATCTTATTTGGTACCATCCATTATCTACTTTTAAATCAATAAATCTAATATGTGAATGCTAAATAAAATGGAAATTTCTCATTTACAAAAAATAATGAGTATTAACCAGATTCTCTTTGAATAAATCCATAGCTTTATTTGACAGTCAAGTTGCGTAATAACTCATATTTTTTTACTCTGCATCACATTATTTTTAATTGAAATATCCGTGGTTATTTATGCCTGTGTCATTAACTCTACTACAGGAAAAATGAAATAAATAATATAAAAGTTAATATGTACAATTATTTAATAATAATAATAGTAAATGAATAAAATAATATACATATAATATATAATAGTAAGAAAATCAACCATTTAAATGTTATTAATGATTGAGATATGTGGGACCATTGTATGGTGCTAACCCTTTTTTTTATTAACTTAAATTTTGATAATGACAGCTTTTTGTAAGGATTGCTTCTATTAGAACTGCCTGCAAATTATGTCTAACTTGATATTTCAGGTAGAGAGCTTTAAATTCTGTCTAATTATCATTGAGTGTTATTGCATATTTTTTTATAAATCAGTTCCAAATATTAGCGGTTGATTTGCATCTGGTCAATCTGGACAAGTAATATGATTAGATTCAAGGTTATTGAGAGAAGTAATGCAAAATCCAGATATATTGATAAATCCTTGAGAAAAATGTCTGCAGACCAAAGTTTGCAGTGCAAATGACGTGGATTGTACCGGTTTAATTTTATAATCTAGGGCTAGGGAAAGGAAACCTTCGGCACTCCAGATGTTGTGGACTACATCCCCCATAATGCTGGCAAAGCATCATGGGAGGTGTAGTCCAAAACATCTGGAGTGCCGAAGGTTGCCTACGCCTGATCTAGGGAATAATCTAGAATGACAGGTTCATTCAGTCCTTAATGGATAACTCTGCAAGTGGTTAATACTCATGTTTAGTTGATTAAAACATGCATTTGTGTAAGTGGAAGTCTTAGCAGCTTACAATTTGCTCCTTTCTTTAATAATATTGTAGAGTGCATCACTCATGTCAAAATTATCCTGCTTATATTTAGGGGGTAAAAATTAGACAGGTATATTGATATTACTTAAATGGAAAGCTGAAAAAATCTAACTTTATTGGAAGTCAAACAATGAGAAATAATAAGAAATAATACAGAGACAAGTGCTTCTTTTGTCATAGAAGTTTATCAAAATACTATAAGGATCTTAGCTTTTTGTAGTGCCTCCTTTACGTCTTTATTCCTCAAGCTATAGATGATAGGGTTTAGCATTGGAACAACCACTGTGTAGAACACAGACACTACCCAGTCCCCATCCATTGTGTATGAAGTAGTTGGTCTCAAGTACATGTATAGAAGAGGACCGTAGAATAAACCTACAACAGTTAGGTGAGAGGCACAGGTGGAAAAAGTCTTATGTCCACCTGCAGTAGAGTGGATCTTAAACAAAGCCAAAAGAATACAGGTGTATGATACCAAAATACATAACAGAGATCCAACTTCAATAGAACCAGCTAAAGTAAACAAAAACACTTCATTCAAAAATGTATCCTGACAAGATAATGTTAAGATGGGTAAAAGATCGCAATAGAAATGATTGACATGACTTGAACAAAACAATGGCACCCTAAATGCACAGTAAGTATGTATCAGTGAATTAATACAGCCTGCAAAGTATACTGTACATATCAGTTGAATACATTTTTTATTGTTAATGAGTATTGGATAACTCAATGGATGGCATATTGCGACATATCTGTCATAAGCCATGACCGCGAGTAGCATTGCTTCAGAAGCGGCCAAGTCAATGAAGAAAAACATCTGTACTGCGCAACCAACGACCGAGATTGTTTTATCGATAGAGATAATGTTAGCCAAACTGTTGGGCTTAATTGTCGACGAATACAATATGTCTACAAGGGATAAGTTCATAAGGAAAAAATACATTGGTGTTTGTAGATTAGGTGTAATTCTAATTAATGTAATTATAGTTATATTACCCATTAATGTTATAATATACACTACCAAACATAGCAGAAATAGGGGTAACTGAAGTTTTGGGTTTGAAGTGATTCCAGAAAGTATGAACCTAGTCACGTAACTTTTATTACTCTGCTCCAGTTCTTCAAACATGTCCTGTAATAAACAGAAAATAAGATATGGGTAAAAAATAAATAAATCAGATACCTGAATTACTGAAATATATTTAGGACCTTGAGAAAACATAGAAATACACAGCGTACATTACTGTCAGGAGTCTTACCTGATGGGGAGTCCGGCTCGCAGAGTAATACACTCACCCTTGCAAAGTACACACAGACCAGGGTGACCAGGTAAGACGCCACCTGACCTGTGAGTCTGTGCACGGGGGCTTTCCAGGAATAGTGCTCCAAGTAGCAGTACAGCGGGGATTAGCAGAAGCGTAGTCAAGGAAAGCCAAAGTCAGGGGAAGCCAGAGATCAGAGTAGTCCACGACGAAAGCCAAGGTCAGAAGCCTGAATCAGACAGGAAATACTGGAACGCTGATACAGAGTGACAGGAACCAAACAAGGGAACCAGAGTCAATGAACTGACACCCTTCCCAGGGTGAGGCAGGCTTTTATATCCAGCCATTCAATATGGGTTACAGGTGTGCTAGAGCAGCCACGGGTAAGTTCAGCTCCCAGTGCTAGAAACAAGGCAAGGACACCTATTAAGGCAATACTATGAATGGCTGGATAGCTCAGTGGCAAAAGAGCAGGGTTCAAATCCCGCCAAAGCCACCAGGAAGGTAAATCCAGCCGGCATTACACATGTCACGATGGAGATCGTGACAATTACCTTTGGAGAATGCATAGTGTCTCCTTCTGCAACATTCGATTATCCACCATTCTGCATTGCAAAATAGTGCTAATTAAAAGTAAGCAGGTAATTAGTTTATTTTATTTAGTGGTAACAGTATATTTAAATAATTTGTTACACATAATTTACTGTTAAGGAAACCTATCTGCACAGTTTAGATTATTGCATGTTCTAACCCAGGCATAGGCAACCTTCGGCACTCCAGGTGTTTTGGACTACACCTTCCATGGTGCTTTGCCAGCATTATGGGTGTAAGAGCATTATGGGGGTTGTAGTCCACAACATCTGGAGTGCTAAAGGTTGCTTATCCCAATCTAACCAATATTTTAGAATTGCAAATACCATGAGGTATTAACTGCCTGCCAAATCTGTTTAGTAGTATTCATCTGTTAAAAAAAAAAAAAGGTTTCCTCTCACCTGTCTATAAATCTATGAATAGCCCATTACTTGTGATATGTATTGTTGTGGTGACATGTATCCATTCTGTTCGGTGTGTTTGATTGGCTCTGAAGTGGTTAAATATTGGGTGTCAAACTTGATCAAATCCTCCATCTTCAGCCTTAGAAACATTGCAATGACTGAGCACTTGATTCCTTACGAATATTGCTTTGTCTATTCATATGTACAATATAAACTTGTTTTAAAGCATAAACATGGCTCAAGATGATTGAGGGGTCAAACATGGACCCCCTACACTTCAAATCCACCTATTAGATCACCAATTTAATTATAAATAAACTATACCAAGAACTATATTTAACACATAACTGCAGTTCTTTATATACTTTATCTAAAGTAAAACTAAAGACTGCTCAGATATACATGGATTGCGGGATAAAACTTACCAGGAAAGGTTAAAGGATCTTAACATGTATAGCTTGGAGGAAAGATGAGACAGGGGGGATATGATAGAAACATTTAAATACATAAAGAGAATCAACACAGTAAAGGGGAGACTATATTTAAAAGAAGAAAAACTACCACAACAAGAGGACATAGTCTTAAATTAGAGGGACAAAGGTTTAAAAATAATATCAGGAAGTATTACTTTACTGGGAGGGTAGTGGATGCATGGAATAGCCTTCCAGCTGAAGTGGTAGAGGTTAACACAGTAATGGAGTTTAAGCATGCATGGGATAGGCATAAGGCTATCCTAACTATAAGATAAGGCTAGGAACTAATGAAAGTTTTTAGAAAATTGGGCAGACTAGATGGGCCGAATGGTTCTTATCTGCCGTCACATTCTATGTTTCTATGTTTCTACATACAGTATCTCACATAGTTGCATGCTGTCATTACTCAGATATATTCTGCCTTCCCTATTTCTTATGCACTAATGGACCTTGTCCAAGGTGTGTCAGCTAATCTGTCACTGTATGTTTTAACCTACATAAATACTATTTTCTTCTAATCTCTTCCTGTCACTGAGCCACTATGTTAGAATGGCTGTAGTGGTTATGGTGATTAGAGTCACCCCTACCTGAGTTTTTTACCGGTCTAAGAAGTAAGTGATAATATTATGTTGTGAGATTGTACCCTGTTGGTTAAGGAACTTGACTGGCAGAAGCATGATAATATACAGAATAAGAGGAAAAAATGTAGTCAACCCAGGGGGATGCCAGTAGCCTCACACGCTACAGAGGACCAAACACTCATCACGTTCTATGTATATTTAGTAATGTGCAATGCTTGATTGATAGATGCAGACTGAGTTTCCTGTTGTCGAGCATCTAGTTTGCTTCCTTAATATTAAATATTAAATTAAGAAGCCAGTTTACAATGTGGTTCAGATATTTAAATGGAAAATTACAAATCTGGAATATATACCCTTGAATAAAACATTTAAAAAAGCGCCTAACTTGTGTTATCTTTTTTTCATGAGAGGCTCTGTTTCTTAAATTTATATTAAAAATGTTGCCAATTACATCCTGATTTAG